TATCTATTGGTATATAATATATAGTTTGAGTTCAATCTGATTGCTCTCACATTGCTTACTGTCGACGACAACAACAACAACGACAACAAAAGCCAATGTTTATTAAGTTGTATTGAGAGTCGAGATTAAGTTGAATGAGAAGACAGTGAGAGTGAGTGAGTGAGTGAGAGAGAGAGAGATAGATAGAGAGAGAGAGAGAGAGAGAGAGAGAGAGAGAGAGAGAGAGCAAATGACTGCCATTTAATATATATGACAGACTTAACCGCAAATATAATATATATATAACGTATATTATATAATATTAAGGGTATATAAATGTGTTGTATTAAAGTGTTGCACATATTTTTTGTTGACACACACACACACACAGTCTCAATGTACAGTACTTTACTAAATGGTGTGTCGGCGGGTATAATATGTAACACCAATATTACTGAGATATATATACAGTAACTATATGTATATATAGTTATAAACATAACCACAAAAAACAACCACAAAAAAATATTGTAATATAAAATAAAATAAAAATTTGTTAAAACAGCAAAACATATCATATATATAGTATAAAATTTATACTATAAATACCGTATATAAAGCAGTCACAGCTGACATTTATATCATATTAAATATATAAAGTAATGCATAACAATATTTTTTAATATTTTATTATTTCACAATATATACGGTATACATACAGTATATATCTTATATATATTTATATTTGTGGTGTAATACCAAAACAATTTATACTACAATATTATCTTTTGCATATTCAAGACTATTTCCATTGCATTTCCTTTTTTTTACTTTTAGTTTTTTTGTGGTTAGATATGAAACAAAAATAAAAAATTTGTTATATATTTTTCATTTATAAGCTTTTTGATTATTTGACGGAGTATTGCTTTAATCATTATATATGTATTATATATATATGTGTGTGTGTGTTATACCGTAATATTGCTTATATTAAAGACATATACATTGTATATACTGTATGTAAAAGGATTGGTTGGTATTATTATTATTATTATTATTACTAATATACAACAGTACAAGAAAAGTGACATTTTTTCACAAACACAGATGTTTTAACAACAACACAGTACAGACATATAATTTATATTCAATATTATATATATATATATATATATAAGTCATATAGACTTATATCAGTTCAATCAAATATATACCGTATATTTGATAAAATTGTTTTAAATAAATTACTACCTTTTTTAGAAAATAATTTTATTTTAAAAACTAGTCAATACGGATATCGTATTAAAAAAGGTTTATCAGATTTACACATTAATTTACAAAAATATATATATAATGCATTAGACAACAAAAATGTTGAATCAATACATATAGTTTTTACTGACTTTTCAGATGCCTTTGACACAGTTTCTCATAAAATTCTACTAAATAAACTTAAATTATATGGAATTTGTGGTGATTTTTATGATATATTAGAAGATAGTTTTTGTGATAGGAAAACAATTATTAAATATAAAAACACATTATCAAAACCAATAGATGTAGTTTCAGGTGTTTTTCAAGGGGGGGTTACCTCTCCTACATATTTTAATGTTTATTTATGTGATTTAGTTAATCAAATACAATCAAATTTAATGTGTTTTGCTGATGATATAACATTTTGTAAAGTAATTTATAATGAAAATGATTCTAAGGTATTACAAAATGATTTAAACACATTAGTGAAATTTTGTAATGAAAATACATTAAAACTAAATGCAAATAAATGTGAATATTTATGTATCAGTTTGAAACAAAATATTAAAAATTATACATATTTTATCAATAATTTTCAATTAAATAAAACTACATCACATAAAAATGTTGGGATTACATATGATCAAAAAATGTCATTCAATTTACATGTAAATGATATCAAATATAAGGCTATTAAAAAATTTTATATAATTAAAAGTTTATGTAAACGAGTAAATGTAGAAACATTTTTACGATTATATAATGTATATGTATTACCAATTATTGAATTTTCTAATTTATGTCTTATATATAATGATACACAAAGTAATCAATTAGAAAGTATACAAAAATTTGTTACTAAATATTTATGTAATAAATTACAAAAATATGATCTCAATTATAGTGAGCGTCTAAAACTGTTAAATATTAAATCTATTGAAAATAGACGCAAAATTCAAATTTTAAAATTTATGTTTAAAGTTAGATATAATTTACTGGATTTTAACAATAAGTTTTATAATGAATTGACTTTTGTAAATAATAGACGTAAAGGTATATTATGTAAACTATCTTTAAATAGATTGTATTTAACTGATAAATATATTTTTAATTATATCATAAAATTGTTTAACCTTTTACCTGATTTTATTAGAAATGAAACTAATTTTTATAAGTTTGTAAAATATTTAAATGAACATTTTATTTGATGTATTTTAAGCACATGTTGTTTAATCAATAAAGATATTATTATTATATATATTAATACATATATATTAGGGTTAAGATCTGTGGGGAGGTTAGAGACAGAGAGAGAGAGAGAGAAAGAGAGAAAGAAAGAGAGAGAGAGAGAGAGAGAGAGAGAGCAAAGCTATCATATAATCCATTTTTAATACATTTAAACAAATAAATACGTAAATAATTAATATATTTTTTTGTCATAATATACTATAACTTTGAGTTATTATTGAATAAAAATTTTTAATAAGTAAAAGAATTAAAATTATGTTAAAATTAATCTTAATATATATATATATATATATAAAATAATAATTATTTTTAAACACAATTTATACATCAATTTACTGGTATGTTTCAATCCAAATGTAATAATTATAATTGTATTACAAGTTAATAAAATTAAAATAACTTTTTTTTAAAATTATTATTAGAGTTTAAAGCAATTGATATTATCCAAAAATAAAAGTTAGCAAAAATAAAACATATAATAGTTTTTAAAAAGTTACAAATCTTATGATTATATAATTTTACTTTTAATTACTGTAATATTAATAATATATAGTAAATACATTATACAGTATATATCCATATAAGGAAAATAATGTAATAATTTGTATGCATAAAATAGTTATGTTAAATTCAATGTCATATTTTTTAACAGTAAAATCATAACTTAAAAAATATTACTAAATGCAAATACTAAGTAACTGTAGTTATATAATGTAAAATTATATGTAAATACAATAATATATATTATATATAATCATATATCAATATATAACTAAAAAAGTTTTTTTTAAATCAATCATTTATTAAACTAATATCAATTAAACAAATATTTTTATTATCTTAAATAATAATATCATATATAAAACTTTACTAAATGCTAATTAATTCTAATAAAACTATTTTTTTAAAATAAGATTTTAGTCTGAATTTACAAACATTTCAATTGTTGACATTAAATATTAGTATTTAATTTTTTTGCAAACATTTATGCTATAATAAATTATAGTTATATATTAAAAAAAATTATACTAATCATTTATGCTATTGTTAAATTTATTAATATATGACCAATGTAAATTATTCAAATATTTATATATACAGTATATTATAAACTATGCACTTTTGTCCATCACTATCTAAATAAATGTGCTAGATTCTTTTTTGTTATTTAATTAAATTATTATAGATTTTACAATTTTTTTACATTGCCAAAGGATATATTGATACAGTATATAAAAAAAATCTATATGTTTTTAAAAAATATATATATATAACTTTATGTCACATATAAAATATATTACCTGTATATTTTATAAAGTCTAATAGGAAATAAGTCACACACATATATTATTAGATAAGATATTTTTCTAACAAATCATAGTTTTATATACATTATATATAAAATATTGTATACAATATATCTATAAAGTCATTGATTTTAAAATTTATAAAATAATTAGTCCAAAAATAGTACATATAATTTAGTATAAATGTAAGCAAGGTGTTTTTGTTGTATTTATATACTTTATATAACATATATTATAATTAGATATAATTTTTTTGAGCGATGATTAGTAGTGTGTATAGTCATGTAATTGGGCTAAGGGAGGGGTGGGGTATATGCAAGGTCAGGGATCCATTAATCTATATCTCTAATAGACTATAAGTGATTTAATAAAGTTGCTATTTAAATTATACTAGATCAAAAATAAATAAATATATACATAAACATTATATCATGATTAAAGAAAATTGGTTTAATTTTTGTTGTTTTCAATTATAATCAAGTACTGTAAAAGTAATTATTACATAACATAACAAAAAACTAATAAAATAATTATAATTGAAAAATAATAAAAAATACAATTAATTTAGAAATATTTATTTTTTTAATAAACTAAATAAGTTTTTAAAAAAAAAATCCGATGACTTGGTAAGTGCTTTCAATAAATGTATTTTTAAAATATATATATATATATACATAATTTAAATTTTATTTAATTTATATTTTCATAGCTTTCTGTAATAATTTTTCTTTTTTTATAAAATATTAAATCATTTAAAATCTTGTAGTTTTTGTATGTATGTGTCGTTTAAATAAAATAAGTTATTTTTTGGCGCAAACTCAACACAAATCCGGTCTTAGGTATGGTATATGAGTGTTGGAGTCTCTCTCTCTCTCTCTCTCTCTCTCTCTCTCTCTCTTTCTCTATATATTTCTATATAATATATATAAAACTCTCACTCATTGTCGGCACACAAGTGAAGATAAAACAGTTGGCTTTGACTGAGAGTTAGACCACAACATCACACACTTTACAGACACACACACAGACACACAAACCTACGATAGTTGTTATATCATATAAACACATGCAATGCATATTCAAATAATAATAATATAAGACAACACTATAAAAACTATTTTCAATTATGTGTTATTTATTATTATAATTGTGTGGACCAAAAAATTATATACAGTATATATTTATATTTAAAAAATATATATATATGGGTTTTAAAGCCTCAACACTGTTGTGATGATAATGTTGTTGTTGTTGACCAGCAATTAATAATAACAGTTATTATTTAGATATGTTATGTGAGACACAAACACTTGGGATAAGTATTTTTTGAATATTTTTTTTTGCATCGTTTTTGTCGGTAAGTCAACGAAATTTTTAAACATTTTTTTAAGTATTATTATTATTATTAAAATGTTGTCATAAATTTAAATAAATAGTTTGTTTTGTTACTTACATTTAGTATATCATTAGATTTTTTTTAAAAAAACAGTATATATATTGATAATGCATTCAATTTCAAAATTAAATGATAGTATACATTGTATTTGTGTCGCAAATTTTTTTTTATAAAATTATTAACTTTTTTAGTAACTTTTTCTCTCATTTTTTTTAATCCCATTAAAACTTATGTATTTAATATACCTTTATATAAATATCTATATAATTTAACTAAACATTTAAAACATTAATTTATTTTAACTATTTGGCATAGTTAAGATTGTTAACAAAATAAAATAGTTAATAATTTATACAATATTTAATATTATTTATGAAGTTTATTATAAATTAATGATAATATTATATAAATATTTTTTTCGAAATATATTATTTTTAAACATATGTTTTTTTCAAATGTTTTTATTTTAATCAATTAGTGTAGAGAAAAAAAACAATTTTTATTTATTAGTTGAACTCTCAGATTAAACTTGTCGTTAAATTGATATCTTATGTCAAATGTCTTTCACTTTATAAAATAATAATATAATATATAAATTATATTAAATACTTTATGATGTTATTGTCTGTATGTGTATGTATTACTCTAACATGTAAGACAACTGTCCACTTATCCCAACAGTCAATCCCTTAATAGTAGTAGTGGTAGTAGTAGTAGTAGTAGTAGTAGTAGTAGTAGTAGTAGTAGTAGTAGTAGTAGTAGTAGTACTTAAAGTTTTTATTGTATTACTACAGTATATATTTATATATATTTATAACTAAAATATATTTATTTGATAACTTACTACTACTACTCCTATTGTTTTTTTTCATATCAAATAAAAGTTAATATTTTACACGTTTTTATTCTCAATTCACTAAAAAAAAGTTTTAAATTTATTATAGTTTATATACCAACAAAAAAAATGTATATATAGTTTTGTTTGATAAACTTTTTTGACTTTTATACTTTTTTTATAAAAAAATATATATAAATAACTTATACATACATTTCTATTTCATTTATTCATTGTTACCATTTATTTTGATACCTTAGAGATATTCATGTATTGTTATATTTATATATAATGCATATTCATTGATCATTTATTTATTTATTTTTTATTATAAATTTTTTGGTGTCCTTAAAGCATATAAGACACATATAAACTAAACATACAGTATATATATATATATAGTATTAGTAATTGTACTAATAATGTATAAAAATTAAAATATTAAGTTATAATTTATACTGTATTGTAAATTGCATTGTATTTCTAAATATCAATTTTATGCAAATCATAGTAAATAATGTATATATATATATATATATATTACAGTATTATACATACATATAATGTATAATATTTTTCATAATAAAACTATGCAAACATAATAGTAATGTTTAAAGAAAATATTTTTATTGTATATTTATTTTTCAAGTTATTTATTTGTAAGCATTAAAAACTTTTGTATATTTAAATTATATACATATAGTTATAGAGTAAATATACTGCATATACAGTAAAATATTTTAATTATTAATGTCAAAAATATAAAGTATTTTTCTGAGAAAAATAAATTAAATGCATAGAATAATTAACTACAGTTTTTTGGGGGGGAATAAAGTTAAGATAAAATAATAATAATAATAATAATATAACAACACATTTAAACATAGAAATTATGTTATAATAAAATGTTTACAAAAATAAACAAAAAAAAACAATGCGACAAAAATAAAGATATTTTCATAAAAGCAAATTGTGTTTCACTTATGTATACATTTAAAACAGTTAAGTGTAAGTATTATATAATAATAATAAACAAAACTAACTATAAGTTATAAATAATTTGCTTTACAAAAGGGTTTCATTTTTCAATTAAAACTTGTGTTTATATATATATATATATTATATATATACAGTATATAGTATATACACTAATATACTGCACAATAAATTGTTATAAATTTATATTATTTATATAATTAATATATATATATATACAGTATATATATATAAACTTTAACTAAACATTTTAAAGTTTTGTTACTTAACTATTTTGGCAATTTGCCTAAACAAATTTATTATTAAAATAATTTTCAATTAAGATTGTTAAACTAAAGTAAATAATATTAGTATTTAATTTTTTTTTAAAAACACACACACATTAATAAACATTGCTAAATGTTATTTTTTTAAAAAATAATAATTTTAAAATAACAATATAATAATATGTTATGTTTATATATTAAAATTAAATTGTTGGTTATATAAAATAAACATAATTAATTATGTATATATATATAAATTATATTTATGTATATATTGAATGTTTGCAATTTTATAAAATTATTTAAATAATAATAAAAATTTGCATATCTAGCAAATAAACATAATATTTTCTATTTTTAAAAATAAACTTATCTACTATTTACTGTATTTATAATAATAAAAATTTTATAATAATAATATTAATTTTAAGTGACAATTATTTTTTTATTGCAATTTTCAATATTTTTATTTGCATTAAAAATATATTATTATTAATAATAATAATATTATTAATATATTATTATTCACGTTACTTTTTACTTACGTTTATTAGTAAAAGTAAAAAATAGAAAGTTTTATTGATTTTATAAATTAAAAATACAGTATAAGTAACAAATTTAAGTCAATATATACTCTATTAAATATTATTGATAGTAAAAATACTGTCAAACATATTATATAATAATAATAATAATAATAAATTTTTTCTAAAAATTATTAAAACATTTATAATATTTATCGCATACTTTTAATTCAAATAATTTTATTTAATGTCTTTTCTAACTTTTTTTTGAAAACATTTATAATTTAAAAAATTAATGTAATTTAAAGTAAATTTTATTAAATTTTAATTGTTTTATTAGCATTTTAATTAATAATTAACAATAACAGCAACAAAAATATAAGAAAAATAATAAAATACTGTATTATTATTATTATTATTATATAAAAAATAATTGTATAAAACTAAGTAACTGTTTATCTGATTAATGGCTTTAATTGATAAACATAAAAGTTTTATATTATGTTTAGTTATGTCACAATACATGTCATGGGCTTATGTATGTCTACTAAATAGCTCTCTCTCTCTCGCTCTCTCTCTTTCTTTCTCTCTCTCTCTCTCTCTCTCTCTCTCTGCATATATATATATATATATATTAAATGTTAAGTCAAAAAAAGGATTTATTATATAAAAAAATAATTTATTTATTTGAAAAGTTAATAAATACAGAACAATAGAAACGATTAAATGGCATTTGAAAAACAAATTCCGATATATATATATATATATAATATTTTGAATGACATAATATTAGTAGTAGTAGTAGTAGTAATTTAAACAATTGGTTTGGTATTTAAAAATATATTAATATAATTTTTCTACATAATAATAATAATAAAAAATATATGTACAGATTATAATATAGGGTTTTTTTATATTATTTTACATTTTAAAAGTATATCTACAAAAATTTATATTATTATTATTATATTTACTATACTTTATATATTTTGCTTATATATAGAATTTATTAAAGAAAAATCTCAAATTTCTGTGTATTTTATTTGAGGGATTAAATCACTGAATAAATATTGTTGGAAATATTATTGAGAGAAAATGAAAAAAACTAAGTTTATTACTAATACAGTATAATAATAATAATACGTTAGGAATAAAAAAAAATATTTTATATTATTAATTAAAAAGGAATTTAAAGCCTGAATGAAAGCATTTAATAATAAAAAAATATTTATATATATTATATATGATTTTACTATTAAATGCACTATTTTTATTATATTAAATATAATAATACATATGATATTATAATATTATAATATATATATATAAATTCATTTTTAAATGTATAACAATAACTTTGAGAGAGAGAGAGAGAGAGAGAGAGAGAGAGAGAGAGAGAGAGAGAGAGAGAGAGAGAGAGAGAGAGAGAGAGAGAGGAAAAACACTGTTAAAACATTTGTCATAAAAACAATTTTTATGAAATATTAAGCTTTATCTTTATCTGTATGTTTTGCAAAAATATCAATCATTTTATTTATGTCTCTATCGTTTAACAAATAAATTAATTCAATGGGCAAACAAACAAAAATATTATATATATATAAATATCTTAAAGTATAAAATTTATCTATCAAAACAAAACATATTATTTTATGAAATATAAAATTATTTTTTAAGTATTTTTTGTGTGCGTGAAAAAATATTTACTTCAATTTTATATATATGTATAGTTGCTTATAAAATATAATTACTGTATAATAAATATATAAATGTTAATAAATTCAAAAAATATATTAATATCTGATACTCAGATAAAGTCAATAAAACAAAAATATTGAATTTGAATGAATAAAAACTATATTTAAAAAAAAATTATAATTTTATTATAAATAATATTATGTATATTATGAGCTGTATGTGTGTATGTATGTAATAATAATACTAATATTTAAAATAATAAAATAATGATATAGTGATTGTTTTTAATGAGAAGAGTCTCATGAGTGCATTGGCACAGTCGGGTCTCTCTCTCTCTCCCTCTCTCTCTCTCTCTCCTCTCTCTCTCTCTCTCTCTCTCTCTCTCTCTCTCTCTCTCTCTCTCTCTCTCTCTCTCTCTCTCTGAAAACTGTAGGTAACTGTGGTGACAGCCCTGTGCATCGCTAGCTATATCATAGACTATATCATACTTATAGTAAATAGCGTGCATCTACAGTATAATATATTGTTTATATATATATATTGTATCATTTATAAGTACATAACAGTACAGCTATAATCATAGACACGGACTCACATACACTCACATACATGTATCGCGTGCTTGGATTTAATAAATTTTGC